CTTCTTCATATAGTCCAGCTTCTCAGATTATTTGTTCAGCATACAGATTGAGTGAGTATGGGAAAGGAACCAACCCTGATGCACTCCCTTCCTGATTTTAAACTATGCAGTATCCCCTTGTTCTGTTTGAACAACAACGTCCTGGTCTATGTACAGGTTCCTCATGAGTACAATTACGTGTTCTGGAATTCCGATTCTCAATTTTATCCATAATTTGTTATCCACACAATAGAATGCTTCTGCACAGTCAATAAAGCACAAGTAAACATCTTTCTGGTATTTGCCTTTAGCCAAAATCTCTCTGACATCAGCAATGATATCCTCATTCCACATCCTCTTCTGAATCCAGCTTGCATTTCTGGAAGTTCCCTGTCAATATATTGCTGCAACCATTTTTTAATTATTTCAAGCAAGATTATACTTATGAGTGATATTAATGATATTGTTTGATAATTTCCACATTCTGTGGGATTACTTTTCTTTGGAATGGGTACAAATATGAATCTAGATCTTCCAGTCAGTTAGCCAGGTAGCTGTCTTCCAAATTTCTTGGCATAGACAAGTAAGTGCCTCTAGTGTGGCATCCATTTGTTGAAACTTCTCAATGGGTATTCCATCAATTCCTGAAGCCTTGCTTTTTGCCAATTCCTTCAATGAAGCTTTGACTTCTTCCTTCAGTACCATTGGTTCTTGATCATATGTCACCTCCTGAAATGGATGGACAATGACCAATTTATTTTGGTGTAGTGACTCTGTGTATTCCTTCCATCTTCTTTTGATGTTTCCTGTATCATTCAATACTTTGCCTGTAGAATCTGTCAATATTGCAACTCGAGCCTTGAATTTTTTCTTCAGTTCTTTCAGCTTGAGAAATGTGGAGTGTGTTCTTCCCTTTTGGTTTTCTAACTCCAGGTCTTTGCACATTTCATTATAATAACTGACTTTGTCTTCTTGAGCTGCTCTTTGAAATCTTCTGTTCAGTCCTTTTATCTTGTCCTTTCTTCCATTTTCTTTAGCTACTCTCCATTCAAGAGCAAGTTTCAGAGTCTCTTCTATCATCCATTTTGATCTTTTCTTCCTTTCCTGTCTTTTTAATGACCTTTGCTTTCTCCATGGATGATGTTCTTGATGTTATCCCACAATCCATCTGGTTTTTGGTCACTGGTGTTCAATGCCCCACCCCCTATGGTAGTGTAGTGCCTAAGGCATTTGACTACTAACCAGAAGGCTGGCAGTTCAAACCTACCAGCTGCTCCTTGGAAGGAAGATTGGGCAATCTACTTCCATAGTGATACTGCCTCAGAAATCCAAGGAGGGGTCGCTAGGAGTTGGATCTGACTCGACGGCAGTGAGTTTTTTTGTTTGTTTGGTGTTCAGTGTGTCAAATCTGTTCTTCGGATGGTCTCTAAATTCAGGTGGGATACAATCAAGGTCATGTTTTGGCTCTCATGGACTTGTTCCAATTGTCTTCAACTTCAGTTTGAACTTGCATATGAGTAATTAAGGGTCTGTTCCACAGTCAGCTCCTGGCCTTGTTTTGGCTGAAGATACTGAGCTTATCCATCATCTCTTTCCACGGATGCAGTCAATCTGATTCCTGTGTAGTCCATCAGGTAAAGCCCACATGTATAGCCACCATCTGTGTTGTTGAAAAAAGTTATTTGCAATGAATGTAAGTCATTGGTCTTGTAAAATTCTATTATATGATCTCTAGCATCATTTCTGTCACCAAGGCCATACTTTCCAACTACTGGTCATTCTTCTTTATTTCCAGCTTTTGCATTCTGACAACCAGTAATAATAAACACATCTTGATTGCATGTTTGGTCAATTACAGGCTGCAGAAGTTGGTTAAAAAAAAAAAAAAAATTCAATTTCCTCATCTTTGGGTTTCGTGGTTGGTGGGTAAATTTGAATAATAATACTGATGTTAACTCGTCTTCCTTGTAGAGGTATGGATATTATCCTATCACTGACAGCATTATACTTCAGGATAGATCTTGAAACATTCTTTGTGATGATGAATGCTACACCATTCCTCTTCAATTTGTCATTCCCGGCATAGGAGACCATGTGGTTGTCTGATTCAAAATAGCCAAAACCAGTCCATTTCAGCTCACTAATGCCTAGGATATCAATCTTTATGCATTCTGTTTCCTTTTTGACAACTTCTAATATTCCTAGAGGCATACTTCATACATTCCGTGTTCTGATTATTAATGGGTGTTTGCATTTCTTCCCATTTTGAGTCATGGCACATCAGCAAATGGAGGCCCCAAAAGGTTTACTTCATCAGCGTCATTAAGCTTGACTCTACTTTCAGGAAGCAGCTCTTTCCCAGTTGTATTTTGAGGGCCTTCTGACCTAAGGGGCTCAACTTCCTGCCCTATATCAGACTATTTTTCAGGGCTATTCATAAAGTTATCTAGTAATGTATCATCAGATGGTGTTTCACTGCCATTCATAAGGTTCTCACTGGCCAATTCTCTGAGAAGTGAATGACCCCTTCCTTCTTCTGAGTCTGTCTTGGTCTGGAAGCACCACTGAAACCTGTCCACCATGGGTGACCCTGCTGGTATGTGAAACACCAGCACATAACCTCCAGCCTCACAGCAACATGCAAGCCACCATAGTATGACAAACTGACAGATGAGTGGTGGAAACATCTATCTAGGAAGTCACTAAGAGTTTCACAGGGCATCTGCCCCAGTGCAAAAGAGGCATTTTATTGTTCATAGATTAAAAAAAAAAAGTTGCTGTTGAGTTGACTTGGCCTCATGGTGACCCCATGTGTGTCAGAGAACTGTGCTGTACAAGGTCTTCAATGGCTGGTTTTTCAGAAGTAGATCATCAGAACTTTCTTCTGAGGCACCTTCTGTTGGACTCAATCCTCCTAACTTTTGGATAGCTGCCAAGCACATAAACTGTTTGCACCACCCAGGAACTCCTACTGACAGATTAATGAACATTCAGAAGCATTAGATGAGCTGTTTCTGCCTTTGACCAACCATTGTTTTCAAGGAAGAGGAAGACTTTCTGGAAAAAATGGGGTAAAAATTAAATGACCTGATATTTTTCCTTCTTAACAGCTTACTTTAACACTAACCCTCAACTCCCCTACAAAAATAAAAGTGTGTGAGGACAAATATCTGTGAAGGGAGCAAGCCCTGCTTAACAACCTATTTGCATGTTGTTGTTTTTGTTAGGTGCTATTGAGTTGATTTCAACTCATAGTCACCCCATGTGACAGAGTAGAGCCACCCTATAGGGTTTTCCAGGCTGTAATCTTTACTGAATTTACCAAATCTTTCTCCCTGGGTGCCCCTGGGTGGGTTTGAACTGCACCTAACAGTTGGACCAACAAGACATCTGTTTGTATAAGCAGTCCTTTATCTTTTTGGTTTCCCTCCCTTCTCCTCTTTACTCTTAATTTCCCTCTTCTTTGGTGAGTAGGAGAACCTCAACTAGTATTGATCATATGCCCAGGCCCAAGCCAAAAGTTTCTCAATAGTACTTTGGTATATTTAGCACTGTTATCTGGAATGCAGGAAATTGTTATATCTTCTCCACTGCTATTCTT